TGTTTTTATTTTAAGTAAAAAAACACCCTTTGTGTTTGTGTCCTTTATAAAGTTTATATCTCCACTACCTGGCATTACATTTTATGACACACGTGGCCCGGTCCAACAAGGTCTCATTTATGTCAGATCTGGCCCTCATAACAAATGAGTTCGACACCCCTGCCCTAGTGCATTATTTGTTGACTGTCTCCTGCTATTTAACTGCATTGTCTCACACTGTGTAATCTGTCCTGAGTCTCAGTGAAAAGGGGGGGGCTATAAATAAAGTAAGTAAATAAATAACCAGGTTGCTTAATTCCTGCAGTAGGAAGGGAGGAAAGATGATGACGAGCAATATTGCATACTGCAGATAAGAGGTCTGGGCAGGAAACCAAGACTTGGTGAATCTAATTGTTATGTAGTGGGCAGAGGATTCCACTGCTTTATCCTTAGGAATTGATTATATAATGCAATGTTTTAAAGAGTAAGGAAACACACTTAAGCCAAGCATGAGAAACAGCTGCTAAATTTGGCACCAAGGTTATCCTGCATTTATACTTTCAATCAATGAGCACGAGCTACTTTAAAAGACAGAGAATGAACACAAACCTAATGGCTCAAAAACATGAAAGGAAATATCCATCAAGCAACGGGAAAACTGAACTGGTAACACAAGAAGTAGAATCTCTACATGCATCCACACACAGTATCCACAAGTTTCCACTGTATTTTGTGTACATTTGGAAGGGCTCTACAGTTAATAAGGACAATAACAGAGGAAAGGTTCAAATCCGAAAAGATTCAATCTCACCCTTAAATCTGAGCCTCAGGCACACTCAAATCCTTTCCTCTATGTCCTGCCCTCCTTTATCTATAATTTAAATGGCACGCCTGTAGATAGAGATCATGGTCTATTCTAGTCCTGCACACTATGTAAAAGATTTTAGGTGCTTTGAAAATAAATTAATGTAAAATCCAAAATTGCATGTTGCCACATTACAATACAGACATCATTTCCTACACGTAAATCATGGGAAACCATAATGGAGGAAACAGACCACAGTCACATATCTTCAAAGGAAACAGGCTCATTTGCTGTTAACTCTTGACAGAAAAAAGTTCAGCAGTCTCCCTTAAGAGGGGCCCTAAAATAGATATAAGCCCTCTCTTTTATTGGATCACTCTCAAGGAATTTCTCCGGCACCATGCAGGCCTGGTAGTTTGGGACAGCCTGGCGTTTTAATCATCACAGTGACACTCTCATTTTCCTTATCAGCACAATAGAAGTACTTCCAATATCAGAAGCGAACAGAAGCCATTAGTTCATCGTGGAAAATGCTTTGAATTGTTTTTAAGCCTCAGAGAATCACCTCTTTTACATTCACTGAAAAAAGAGAAATAATGTGCCAACACGAAGGTCCTTCTTCCTTATGTGTGCTCTGCCCACACTGAAGTGAATGGGAAATCTGCCACACTCTCAGTATATACTCAAGTATGGCAGCAATAATTGGTACTTCACCTAGCAACATGGTTTCTGTCTTCATCGTCTGCCAGTCAGCTGGCTTCTCAGGCAATAAAACTTGGAAAAATGTTTGTGGGTGGGTCCACATCAATACTTTGCCCTTGCTAATTAAACAATATTTCGACAAGCAAAATCAAATGAGTGTTAAGACATGCATAACAGGGAGCAAACTGCCATGCTGACAGTTCAAAGAAAGACCCTTGGTAACACTCCAGGATGACATTAAAAATATGCACGGTTTGTAAGCAAAAGGCATTAAAAGATGAGATCTACCCAGTGTTCATCTGCCATCCACTCATCCACATCAGCACAGTGGATTATGCTCCTACGGCAAATTCTCAGAGCTATAGCTATAAAAAAGAACAGATGCAGACTCACTGCCTGTAAACCTGTCTTATAGGGTGTCAAAGCATTGGTCAACCCATCTCACCAGTACCTCTTCTGGCTGGCAGCAACTTCCCAAGGGGTCAGGCAGAGAAACACCTGCTACCTGATATCCTCTAACAGCAGATGGTAGTGACTGAATGTAGCCACCCTAGAGCAACAGGCTATAAAAGAGAATCCCTGAGGAAAGCGGTTTAAAAAATTCCATCCGCTCACTGTACAGCAGCTTTCATAAACCAGCAAGTTTGTCTGCCCTGTAACTTTTCAACTTGGCTACAAACTGCTAAATTCATTTGCAGTGCCCTCAAGCATAAACCGGAAGAAGACAGACACACCCAAGGCCCACTATAATCAATAAGTCATTTTAGACACAGGCAATCTTTTACTTAAGACAGACTTCTTTTTTGCTTCAGGAATTCACTGCTCTGGTGAATAAGTTCAATTGCAACATCAAATACAATGGCAGTTAGCCTTTTAAAGATTTCACAAGCAAGCAAAGTCCACAGAGCAGAGTAAGGAAAGATATATGAACATCAATTCAAACTTGTTAAGGATTTGATTTTAGCATTGCCAGGCATAGCCTGGCAACCGATGGGAAGGTTGGGGGGAGCAACATCCCAGGAGAAAAGTTAAAAATAAAAATGAGGCCTTGTTTACTTATAGGAAGTTCTCACCATAGACTTTTTGGTTATTCCAAGAGTTATCTGGAAGGGTAGCTCTAGGAATCACTAGAAATTCTATGGTAAAACCAGCTTACCCTTTGTCACTTCTGGGGTGGACTAAGAATCTGCATGAACTCTATGGTAAGAACTTCCTGTAAGTAGACAAGGCCTTGTTTTTCTTTGTAATTTTTCTCCTGGTGCTGTTTCCAGCAGTGGTAGGCAACAGACCCAGGGACAGCAGATTCCCTGCCCCCACCAGGGAGCTTAGCAGCTCTATTCAGTTTCCATCTGTGCATAAAAGTTGGAGGCCATGATGAAAAAGGGTGGGAAGAAAAAGCCCCCCCCCCAGTTCAGTAAGCTCTCAGGGCCTTGAGCAGGCCAATTTCCCATCTCTCTTTTTTCCCTTTAACGATCATCTATTCAACACCCCATGTTGCTGGATATACTCAGTCCCCATCCAGGTATCTATATATCTAATTGCCAAGTTGCCCCCTCTGTGCGGATATCTAAATCCGCACATCAGGGGCACTTGGGGGGCAGAGAGATTTTCCAGCACACTTGGAGCAGTCCCCAGGTGTGCAGAAAAATCTAAAAAGTTGAAAAACTATACGGGGGATACTTGAATCCCCCAAAAAGTAAAAGAGCGTTCCCTGCGTATGCGCAGAGAACGCCCTGGCAACTGTCTCGCTGCCGCCGCCGCTGGAGAGGAAGGCTTGGCGGGCTGGTGGCTGTGAGCCACTCAGGCCTCACCGCCGCCGATGCCGGGTGGGAGGAGGAAGAAAGCTAGGCGGGCCCCAGGCTTCGCCACCACCACGGGGAGGGAGAAGGCTTGGCGGGTCTTGCTGCCACTGGTGTTGGGGGAGGGGGGAGAAGTCTTGCGGGCCTCAGGCCTCGCCACTGCCAGGGGGGAGGGAGGAGAGAGAAGGCTTGGCGGGCCTGCTGGGTCCGCCTGCTGGGCTCACCTGCTGCCGCTTCCTCCTCCGCAGAGCTCCTCCTGCTTCTGCAGGCCGGGAGCGTTGGTGAATACTCCCCCCCCCCACGAGTATGGCGGGTCCCTCTTCTTGTTACTTCTATTTGCTTCTTTTACAAAGTCCAGTTATACTACAGAATCCCCTGAGTATAAAGAAGCAGCTCCCTTGTCTGAGGGTGTCCCAGTTTTGCCGCTTGTGCAATCATATCAAGGGCCAGCCATTTTACTATTAGAAGGCGTGATAAAACAGCTTATCCCATGGCTCCCAAAACCCAGCTGCACTGATCCTGTCCAGATTTTTCATACAGCTCAGCATACCTCGTTAAGAAGCAGCTGAGGGGTTTTTTAAAAAAAACAACAACACCAATATGCTGACTGAATTATGACTTGCAAGCTCTTTTTGAAAATGCAGCCCATAGGCATATTTAATGTTACAGGGAAATTACGAAGTTCTTCTCTTGACGAAACCACCTCGAAGGGGAGTGATGATCGTCATCAACCCCCATGCACACTGGCAAAGCAGAAACAATTCCGAGGCATTGACATCCAATATCCTTTTACCCTTATTCATCTCTACTATAATTTCATCTGATTGGCAGCTAATTCCAGCAATCATGGGGACCTCTGCACATCCGTAACCAATATATTGCTATTGCAAGAGGCTTTTGAAGCATGGTTTGGGTTTTTTTAAAGGTTAAATATCAATACTGGAGTTACTGTGCACTAAAAATTCCTTCTGCTAATTCTTTGTTCTACCTCAGTGTGAACATGATAATTATTATTCCCTAACAAGTCACTCTTGCTGCTAGAACACTCTGAATGGAAGTATCAATATTTGCAAAGTTTTCTCAATGAAAACAGATAATAAAGAACATTTAATATTAACAGGATACTCAAATGAGAAGTAAGTGTACAGGAAGCATGGCCATAAAGACAAGCTATAACTGAGCCAGCAGGCCTAGCTTTCTTTCCTGCTTCCACCAGTCCTTCCCCTGCCCGTCTACTGCCTCCTGTACCCACCTGTCTCCCTCCTTTCCTAGACCCTACAGCTTTTCCTGACCTGGCATTCCTTCCCTTGTGCCCATTTTTTGCCCAAACATTCATTCCAAGGGGACCTGTTTTGCCATCCCTTCTAGTTAGGCCACTTTTTTTCTCTTTTGTAGATGCAGGAGTCCTTCACATATGCCATCCATCTATCTATCCCTCTATCTCCATCAAGAAAGTGCACTGTGTGAAACTGGTGACCAAAAATGAGACTTAATTCCACAAGCACCACACATTTGACTCTGCCAATACACAGAAGAAAACCTGCCTTTCAGTGTTTTATTAAACCCAAAGAGATTTCAAGGATTTTATATATACTCTCCACCACCCAGTCTATTCCCAACAGGAATAGATCAGTTTAAAATCAAAGAACCTCAGCTTTTCCCCATCACTCCATGGCAATAGCACTTCTTATCCCATATTGTAACACAGGACCTACCTTGGGTCTGTGGGATATACGGAGCCAACAGCTTTGCCCTTTTCTTCTCATACCCCTTCTGGGTAATGTCTCCTAAAAGAAACCAAGGAAGCAGAAGTGAGACTTGTGCTGCCATGAACTTGTGGGGGTGGGGGAGGATCCTGAAAGGTGTCTGAACTCATGCAATTGTTTTATTGGGGGGGGGGGTTTTTTGTTTATTTGATCCAGGTTCCTTTCTCCAGTGGTAACAGTATTATACAGGCCGTCAGGTGAAGATAGTCACAAACCTCTCACAGTTAAATGAAAAACAAACACACTTACAGAGTTTGTTTCCTGATTTTGACACCCAGCATCACTATTAACGCATTCATTCAAAGCAGGTGAGATGGCATTAGCTTCCTATTTAGGAGTAATAATACAAAGTAAATGCTGGGAGCTGAGCTGCGGCACAAAGGAAAACACTAACAACACTGTAATAAATTTCTTCCAAACAGATCTGCTTGTCTCACATTACATCTGAATGGCAAGAAAAAGGCTAGCATGTGAAAGGATTAAAGCTAAGCAAGAAAAACAGCAAGGCTAGAAACACTTACGCCCTCTCTACAGCTCCACCTTGCTCTCACTTTCACTGCTTTGTAGGAAAATGAGTCTGGGAGTGAGCGAAGGGAAAGAAGGGAGAGAAGTGGGCATGGGGACCGCCCTAAGTGGAAGGGAAGACTATGGTCCAGATCTCATGAAAGGATTTGGCCTTTGTAATTCAGGCACAGGAGGAGACCAAGAGGCCCTCTACCAACTGGGGCAAGCCCAAAGGGCTCCGTCCCCCATAAAGGCCTGTGGCTCATCTAACGTTGATCTATTATTTTGTACCCTTGCCTCTCAAACTGTTTTGAAGGAGGGGTGGTCACACCATTACCCCAGAGAAAAAACAGAAGGGGCAAACAGCTAATGTAACAGGCACGTCTGCTATCGTATCGCCATGACACAACCAGTCCAGAAACTGACAATAACTGATGGCGATGAATCATGATCAGTTTTTTGCTTCACGATTTGTGCTTAGACTGAAAGTGATCCCCTGTGCTTCAGCTTTCCACTATGGGCATACCGAGAGGGGGGGGGGGGGGGGGGGGAACCAGAGGTCGGAGGGAAGTTCTTGTGATTCTTCAGCCTTACCCAGGAGGAAAGGAATGGCCCTTCACAATAGCTTTCTTTTTAAAGGCTAGGTGGATCAGAACTATTATACTGCCACTGTAGAAAAGTCAGACATCAAACGTTCCTCAAAGCAAACTAATGTCTTTATATCATCACTTTTTTGTTCCACTTCTCCCTCAGTCCCCCCATGCTTTTACATCCCCCTCTTTTGTAAATCTGTTATTCTTTAAAGGTGTTTCAGACTTGTCATAGCAATCGTGTGTGCTGCAGCCACATTAAGCTTTATGCTTGGTTTTCCAGAGTCCACACATAAAGTACGACGGTTGGCCAGGTATTCCTAAAATACTGGCAATCAACTCCTTGGCAAGTGTCCCCCAAGTATTTAGGAATGTGCACCTGCCCTTCATACTTTGCTTGTTTACCACAGGTAACACTGATGTAGCCACAGCACACACAACTTACACATAAAAAGTGCCAAGAGTCCCAGATTGACTCAGAGTTGAGAAGTGAGCTTTATGCTGCCTTAGGCGCTAACACAAAGTAATCAAACTCCGTTGCCGCCAAGCCTCTCCCCCTGTCAAGTCCTGGCAAGCTGAAATGAATCTAATTACAGCAACAACAACAAAAATGTTTAAAGGATTACAAAGCATGAAGGTAACTGCCTCCCCCCCACTCAACACCCCCCCCCACACACACACACACAAGCATGGTAATAAGACATGGGGATAGCATGTTGCCTATGTACCTACGGAAACAGGAGCGAGAAGACAGGCTGCCTTAAAGCCAAAGGATTCTACTGTGGTGAGAGCAGGACCAAAAGCCCCAGCAAATGAAAGAAACATGAGACTTCCATCAGATAAAGCACAGCCACTCTTATGCCTGTTGTGTCAATTCACTTGGGTGGTCAGAAAAGGAGGCAGCTGCTTTCCCAAACTTGGACCTGAAGTTCCTCCTAGGCTTATAAGAACACCCTCTGCCCCTGGCAGGGGATGGGCCAAGGAACCAAGCTCCCAAATTCCAGAGGGATAGCCATATTAGTCTGTTGCCTCAAAATAATACAAAAAGGCCTTGTGGCACCTCAAAGCCTGAACAGTTTATTGTTGCTCAAGCATTTCTGAGCTTGAGCTCAGACATATGAATCGCCCCACTTGTCACTGCTGTTTCAGGCCTTGGAAGAACACACCATTAGTGGCCAGAGCTGAAGCTAGAAGCCATTACAACTGATTGCAATAACAGGTTGTTACATGATTCTTAGGTCTTACCCATGGCAGAATCCTGCCCCTCCCCCAATAACTGCTTTATTCAACTGTGATTTTGTTAGTTGCCTCAAACATGTCAGCAGACAGATGAGCTCCAGATCACAAGGGCAGACAGGTTGATAAAGGGAAGCAGCAAGGAGGCTATTCCACCAGTGTGTGCAGCCAAAAGGCTTCTTGTGCGCCTTCTTCCTGCCAGGGGAACACATTTTAAGTTTCAAAATACTTATGTTGTCATTGCTAATATGGCAGAAGCCTTGTACTTCTATTTGCTCCTTCATCAAGCTTACTCCGTATGGGCTTGTGATCCAATTAAACAGTCCAAAGGTGTAATGCAACCTGCAAAAGCAGCTTTCAGATTCAAAGAGGCAGCTACAGTGCTGTCATTTTTCTTCCACAGATGGGCCAAACCGTCCATACATAACACAATCATAATGCAGAGAGTTCTCTAAACCACTGCTGTATCTTTAAGACTTGGCTTCCTGTTTTTCAGTCTGAAGAATGTGAGCTCTATGCAGCCAGAAGAAAACTGTAGGTCTGTAAGTGGTATGCTTCCTCTTGTTCTTTTAACTTTAGTTAGTCTTTCTATAAAATGTGCTGAGACCCTTCAGTGTTTTTGGTGTGAAGACTGTATTTAACAGAAAGCAACCCACCCTTCAAGCTGTTAGATGAAACATTAATATCAGAATATTTGAAAACCATCTAAAAGACAAATCAGCCATTCTTCAACAATAGCTGCTTACAAGCATGCCAATTTCACAATCCAAAATGATCCAAGCTGCTGCACCCATTAAGCCGTCTATCTTCTGCACCATGAAGAACGAAGACTTTGAATTCCTGATGCTTTATAGGAAACGCAAGATGAGTAAGACTGTATTGGGGGGGGGTCTTGGTTTTAAAAACCCAAAGTGCACAGTTGATAGTGATTTTGCACGAAGATGTATAAAGGGAGACTCAGCAGGGGGTGGGACAAGAAATAGAAAACATCAGACTGATCTGGTCGCTTTCAAACCAGCACAGAAAATATTCCAGCAGGATGCTGCCGTCATTGAAAACTTTGTTGGTGTTGTAGCAACTAAAGCAAAATGAAGTGTCAGCAAGCGGTTCTGGGGTATTAAAACTCCAGTCCAACCCAGACCATCAGCATGGTCTCAACAGCATTCAAAATTAAACAAATTTCATCAAGAGCCTTCTAAAATAATCCCGTCATTTCCAATCACTTCAGTAAATGCTAATTTGCCAATTCAAATTTTTAAAGCGGATCGGAGCAACAAGCAGGCTAAACCAGCTACTCGATAACAGAGAAATTTGCATACTTTCACTGGGCCAAAAATGCCATTTTACTGGGCACACATATGTAAGCAGTGTTCCCCATTTCCCCCAAACCATATGATCTGTAATTTCAGGGGATGATACAAAGTTTACGATAATTACAACAGGCACTATCAATTATTGTCTGGCATTTCCCAGGATCATTAAGATTACCATATATTTTACATAATTACATGGGACTGATAACCAAATATGCAATGGTTCTACAGCTCATTATACCAATGAATCTAAAGTCAACAGAAGCAATGTCCCTTCCTAAAATCACTAGCTGCACAGGTACCATTCCCGCCAGAGCTTGCATTTATGAAGCAACCTGAAACAGGAAACAAAGCAGCTTACTTGCAAGTTTACATAAAGGGGAAATAATCAGTCTTACAGATCATCAGGGAGTCCAAATGGTGGTCAAGTAAACCAAGAGTGATAAACTAAATTCTGAATGAATGTATCATACAATGTTTGCCCACAGCTTCAATTGGAAGGGTAAGAAAAATGTTTTAATATAATGAAAAAAAGAATATAATGAAAAAAACTTTTATAAAGGAGCCTGACCACTCACAAAAGGGTCACCAGTGCAGCAATAGTTATGGAGAATATATGTGGGATTTATCTGTCCTAGGATTAGGATGACTACACATTTACAAGTAGGATGATGGAACATGGGCTTGCTTGGTCAACTGCACAGCAGCAATGCTGTCTACCTATTGATCTTACATGTCTTCCCTCCAGAGCTTTTGACATTTTCCTTCTGAATGGCAAACCCTCAAGCCACATTACAGAAACTCCCCTCAGTTTCAAAATTGGGGTGTCATCTGGTATGGAGAGCTGCTCATGAAACATAACTTTGATCCCCGCTGTGGTGCACTGCTCTTTGGATACTGGTTCATCTGCTCAGCTGGTGGTGATGTGTGAAATGCAAGTCCTCTCTAGCATAGTATAACAATGCTGCAGCACATTAGAGAAAATGACACATTTTCAAAGAAAATTGATTTCTGCTGATTCAATGCACAGCCCAAGAAGTAGTGAGCATATAAACACACAGTACTGAGCATATAAACAAGACACATCCTGGTTGTTAGTGGACTAAATGAAAGCAAGTTATTTCCGTAGCTGCTCTGGGAATTAATCCTGGAAATGTACGATATAAATATTCAATCAAGTCTTGTGAATTCATTCACATACCTTATTTAAACCTCAAGAAGCAATGTGCTAAGAACATCCAATTCACCCATTTTTTCCCCCTCTTCAAGTAATTTTTAACAACAGGAGCCAAGAATTCTAAGGCTGGAAACATGTCCACTTCTTCACAAACCCACACTTTATTTCCCCATTCTATTGTCTCATTGGGTCCACATACTT